CAGAAAAGAGGAAACCAACAATAAAATAGGAGAAAGTACTAAATTATTACTATATTACAATACTATGTAAAGCGCATGTGAACAGTAGCCTTCTTTTTGATCAGTTCATCCGTAATATTCAGGAAAAAAAATATATGGAGTGGATGTTTGAACATATTTGCATGTTTTTTTTTTATTGTTTTTTTTTATACTCATTCCAAATGATCAGGAAAAGAGGAAATCAACAGTAAAACTATTAGTAACTAGAGTAAATTATTATATTACTGTGCCATAGTGAAATGCATGTGCCTATTTTTTGATCAGTTGACCAGCTATCTGCCCAATCAGGTATCTAGGTGACAAAGTTTATAGTTCTTGAGAGTAAAAGAAGTAAAAGACAAGAAGTTTGACATCTGCAGAATCAAGATATGCCCAGATTGAAAAAGAGGCATTGGTCGTGACATGGGCATGTGATATGGAGTGGATGTTTGAACTTATTTGCATGTTGTTGTTGTTTTTTTGTCTTTTTATCCTCATTCCAAATGATCAGGAAAAGAGGAAACCAACAGTGAAACTATTAGTAACTATAGTAAATTATTACTATATTACTGTGCCATAGTAAAATGCATGTGCCTATTTTTTGATCAGTTGACTAGCTATCTGCCCAATCAGGTATCTAGGTGACAAAGTGTATAGTTCTTGAGAGTATGGTACCTCTCATTGTATGGCACAGAGCACAGACCTACCCCACACTGACTGCACCTATACTTTGTCTGCCGGCGGCCCTTACAGAGTGCGCGATCAGAACAAATGATGCAATCGACCACCATTGTCATCGCTATTTCCAGCCCTATTTAGAGCCAGATCACCCCTGCTGCCTCTACCACATCTCCCGGCTTTCCCACGCACAGCACGGCCACGTCGTGAACACTCACGCCTTGAACGGCGGCACCATTGCGCTGCAAATATGTACTGGGAGAAGCGCGATCATTAGACGAACGATCGTCATTTCCAAAAGGCAAATATTTCCCTTCAGAGTCAGAATCGGTGAATAACATTTGCAACACAATCTGCATCAATGACACGATAGCTCACTTGCTCTGCTATTTGCTCGAACCCTTTGAATAGGAACATTAAATCATTTTGGTCTAGAATCGAAGTACTACATGTCTGCCATCTAGTGGTAGGGAATACAAATGAGATATAACACCATATTAGGATATGCAGCCTATTTTATTAAGTATGACGTCTTGTCGCAATTTTGCGACTTTGGTGCTTAGAGGGTTAATCAGCCAATAAAAATGTTACATGGTATGTTGATCAATGTGACATGGCGCTAAAATTTTAAACTGCTTACCTCAAACTTTTATCCCTTCCTCGTTCTTTCAGCACACATAAAAAGTACAACTGCCAAATTGTGATTTATCATGCTCTTTTTGTTTACCACTAGCACATGCTGATGACATTTGACTTTTATTTAATAGTAACGTGCGTCGTAGCCTAAGAGTCAATAGGTGTCATCATCTTACAGTCTGCATACATGTTGAACCCAAGTTTATGGACTCTGTGCACAAGTGTAGTGATGAACTTCCGCTGTTGCCAGAAGTCGAAATATCAGTTTCCGTTTTACTTTCTCGTCGCCAAAAATGTGAAAGTGAAGTGACATGTGGCCAAGTATGGTGTCCCATACTCAGAATTTGTGC